AAAAAAAATTGCTCTAACAAATTAAGTATATGTCAAAAAAAAAAAAAATCTTATTAAAAAAAATTCTCCAATGAAATTTCTATCAAATAAAAGTTTTTAACGAAATTATCCATCAAAAAAAAACTCAGAAATGTCCCTATCAATGAAAGAAATTTTCTAACGAAATTTTTTATCAAAAAAAATCTTCTTATTAAAAAAATTCCCAATGAAATTCTATCAAACAAAGCCTTTGCCTATATTAAAAATAAAAATTCTCTACAAAATTTGTTTATAAAAAAAAGCCAACCATCGCTCCTTTTCGTCTCCCATCACTCCTCTTTGTCTCCCATCATTCTTTTTGTCTCCCATCACTCCTTTTCATCTCTCATTATGTCCTATTTCTCCTTTTTGTTTCCTATCACTTCTCATTACTCTTTTTACTCCCTTTCATCTTCTATTACTTTCTATTACTCCACTGTTATTTCATTTTTTTATTAGCTACTTATCTTTTTTATTTATTGTTATTGTTTCTTTTATTTGTACACTTCAATAAAAATAAATATGGTGATTTTTTTCTTTAAAATCGTAAATGTGTGACTTAAATTTTAATATTTGCAAATAAAATTTCATTAAATAAATAATTATCATTATGGATGTCTATCAAAAGTTAATATGCTGACTGCCAGTTCTTATAATGGGTACCCGCTGTTTCTTATAGTGAGTACCCACCGTTTCTTATAACGGGTACCCGCCATTCCTTATAACAGGTACCCGCCATTTCTTATAGCGGGTATCCGCCATTCCTTATAACAGGTACCCGCCGTTTCTTATAATGGGTACCCATCATAACATATAACGTATATAATGCTATGAAATATAGCGTATTAAACGCAACAGGTTACCCCTGAAACAGACAGAACAGGGGTAACCCGTCATGAAATATAACGTATACGCGCTACAAAACATAGCATATACACGCTATGTTTTGCTATGTACTTTTGACCATGGCGGCTTTCCATAGATAAACGGACTTCGCCACGTGATCATATATGTCATTAAGGTTCATAAACATATGCTAGGAAATGGCAGAGTTGATAAAATTAAACAAAATTGGTTCCCTTACTTTTAGATGATTTGCGGAGGGTATAGAATCCTTGAAATTAATTATTTAATTGTTTATAATCAGTAATTTACAGAATATTGTATTAGATAATTATCTGCGGGCAACTGACTCTTTATTGGAAGTTATCAGTAACACTCAAGCTTGCTTTAGTTATGAGAGTCAGCTTACTGTAAGATGATGCGAAGTATTAACCAATACGGGATTGATGGATTACGAGATTCAATTTAAAAAAATTATAACGATTTTATGTAATGCATTTCATTCCTTGATATCTAAATTAAAAATTTGGTGTTATTTTTAGAGTTTCGTCTTGTAAGGTTAAAGATCGTGCTCTTCCAGCTTTACAAGGTATTTAATTTTTATTAATTAATAAAAGGTTTTTAATCATAAAATTTTGTTTTATATAAATAATTTTTTTTTTTAAATAAGAAATTATAGGATTTGAAATTTAAATTTATCAAAGATTGGCGTTTGAGAAAACTATTTGCAAATTGTTTCTTCGCAAAAACATTGAAGTGATGGACTTATCATACTGTAATGGTATTGTAATGGAAGACAGCGTAAATATTATTTTAAACTCTTAATGTATTTTCCAGGACCATAGATTAATTAAATAATTAATGAATTTGGCATTGGTGAATAGGGTGAACATATGTTCCCTTAATCTTGACAGCACTCTATTGACACCACCTCAAGTTTCAGCTAATCCTTCATGTTTTCAACATTTAGAGTTTTTCAATATTTCCAGAATGAAACTTTGTGATCAAGATGCAATGAACTTTGACCCGAAACTACAGGAATTGGTCGAATGGATTTAAATGGATAGCAATAGGTATATTTATTGTTATTTTAATTATTAATTAATGTTCACATCTTAATTTTATTATTTAGAGTACAAGTCTCTCAATTTCATCAACTACAAGATGGATTAGATGATATATTGCATAACTTTTCTGGCAAGATGAATATGCTTTTTTTTATTGGTTTATTAAATAAATTGATTTTTTTTACTTATTTGCTTGTAGAATTGCCTTTAATAAGCTCGACTTAACAATGCTACTGTCAGTATTTTTGTACATTGAAGCTATGAAAAGTATAATTAATTTATTACTAAACAAATTTTTTTTTTCCTCAAATTTATTTATTTAAAAAAAAAAATAGTTTTTTTTTTATGATAGCTTAACATATTATACTTATCTGGAACTAAATTTTTTTTTACTTCCGTCACCAATCTTCTTTCAGGAAGTATACACCATTAGCCTTATATATATTAGATATATTTATTTGTTGAATATTTAATTAGTTTTTTTTTCTGATTATTATTTAGAAAACTTGGCCAAGTTGTATCTTGATCGGAACATACAGTACATCATCAATATCGGAGTGGATAATTTACGAAGTTAGTTCTGGAATTTCCGATTTAAATTATTAAAAAAAAAAGAACTAAAATTTTATAATTTCTAGATATTAAGTTAAACAAGGATTAAAAATGAATCTTTACGAATAATTGGTAATTCTGCATTTTCCCCATTTTAGGAGTTTAAAATATTTTAGCGTTGGATACACTTGTGTTACAGATAAAGGTGTAAAAGAACTTGAAGGTAAATTTTATTACCCTTTATTATTATCAGCATTTGACCTGATATATTCGATATAAAATTTTTTTAATACAGGACTTTCAAAATTAACATTTTGAATTTGGATTATATGAAGGTTCTTTATCTTGTAAACAAATTCTGAGCTGGTAAAAAATTATTTTGTTAAATTATTAATTTTGATATTGTAGCGAACAATTGATCACGTGACCAAAATTCGGCCTAATCACGAGGTGACGATCAATGTTCGAAATGTTGCATATGTTGCATATATGTAACATATCAAATATGTTCAATTTATTTAATATATTCAATAAATGCAATATGTTAGATATTTTTAGTCTAGTATTTTTACATATATATAGACCTGTAATTAGACCTGTAGTTGAATGAAGTTCAAGTTCAGTAGAAGAGTTTTCTTAATAAAAATGGTTCTAATGATTATATTAAATAAACTGTTGTTTGAATTTAACGAAATATAAATTTGTTATCCTTTATTCGTATTGGGAGTATATGCCGACGTACAGTGCTATACTACACGTCTGATTGGATTGTTTATTAAGTGTTTATACATATAGTTTATTTATTGATTATACCCGCCTACCTAAATACCTTCTGCTTACCCTTTTCCATTTGTTTACGTTTATAAACGCTAAAGAACTGGCTATAACAATATTTATAATCTCGTTTAATTAATCATTTTTGTTTTTTTTTAGAAAATATCTCAATTACTTACAGGGATTATCAAAGAATTCTGTAACGATGATGATGATGAATAGGCAAAAAATCAAAATATACAAATAATCCCTATAAAAAAATTGGATACGTTTTTTATAAAGTTTTTATACGATTTTTTTCCTTAGAAATAACATATCATAATAGGATACGGAAAAATGCACAATTCTGTATCACTAAAAATATGGTTTGAATATGGAATTTGCACAGAATTCATATGGAATTTACATGATTTGATCACTGATTTTATCACGAAATTTATATGATTTGGTCACTGAATTTACTATTTGTATTACAGTTTACTATAATTATATTTACATAAATCTAATTTTACTTTATTAAATTAAATAAAAAATAAAAAATAAACAAAATACAAATACATTATGAATTCCCTCCTTATTAAAACTACCTATTGCAACCAAAATTATCTATAAGTTTAGGTTCATTTGGAGT